CAGGCCCCTGATCATCCTCGTAGCCCTGCACTGGACTCTCTCCAGCAGCTCCACATCCCTCTTGTACTGTGGAGCCCAGAACTGGACACAATACTCCAGATGCGGCCTCACCAGGGCTGAGTAGAGGGGCAGGATCACCTCTCTCGGCCTGTTGGAAATGCTCTTCTTAATGCACCCCAGGATCCCATTGGCCTTCTTGGCCACAAGGGCACACTGCTGCCTCATGGTCAACTTGTTGTCCACCATGACACCCAGGTCCCTCTCTGCAGAGCTGCTCTCCAGGTCAGTCCCCAGCCTGTACTGGTGTCTGGGGTTATTACTTCCTAAGTGCAGGACCTTGCACTAGTCTTTGTTGTATTTCATAAGATTTCTCACTGCCCAGGTCCCTTTGGATGGCAACGCACCCCTCTGGGCTAAAGATGTTTTGTAACTTCCCAGACAGATCCCACTGTTTCAATTTATTTCAGCAACATAAATGAGTATTCATTTGACTTTTGTCTCCAAAACCTTCCAGTTCATTTACTGAAAATAGCAAAGACATGAGGCAGTCTTGTTTTCTGCATTCTGCATAAGGTGTGATGTAGTGAGGCACTCCACCTAGTGTCCCTTCAGGAGGGAACAGCCTGTGCTTTACACACACATCCTTGCAGACTGCACAGAAAGAGCCCCAATTCCAAAACAAAACTCTGGACTTTCCTGAATGCACTGGGCCCACTACATATCAATTCTAACACCCTGCAACTGCAAACAGTTAAGTCGGGTGCAGGGACATCATTTCACATACTGAAATACTGAAATACTCAATACTCAAAGCCACATCCAGCTTTCAGAATGGCAAACCTGTGTTCTAAAACAGAGCACTGGGATCTTTTCATACCTCATCACATCCAGCACAGCGAGGTTTTTCACTATCACAATAGTGTCTTCCACAGTACAAGTTACCATTCTTCCAGAAATAGATCATGTCTACAAGAAGTTCACTGCAAGTGCAGCAGACGAAACAAGCTGGGTGCCACAGTTTGTCATAGCCGGCGCGCTCTGCGTAGACAGCTGGGTCACCTTCTTTCATGTTCAGCTTGCAGCGATAGCAAAACTGGAAGGAATTGATTACAAAATTAGGTAATTTTATAAAGAATTATACTTACTACTGTAATTAAATATTATCTATGTGTTTCAAAAATTCCTTTTCCTAGACTGAAATTAAAGCACTGCTTTGCTTTCACGGTCAGATAACAACGTGACATGATGCCACAGTACAGGGTTAACTGGGCAATTCAAGATAATGCACACACTGACATAGCACTAGTTAAGTGGATTATTGCATTTTGCTATATTTGCATTATTGAAATTATAGCTTACTTACTATAAAAGACTCCTGGAGATAGTTAAAATTCACGTTATGTCTCCGAGTCTTAGATGCGTAAGAACAAGGCACTTCATCAAAGCTCACCAACTAGACTAAGACTGGAATACGTGACAAGAGAACAGCTGTGCACTTGTAGGTCATGAGAAGATCAAGCTTTATCACCATCACCAACAAGGAAAAATTTATTACTGTTAATAATTCAAACTCATTTTGTTTAAAGCTGCATTCTAGGGCTGCTCAGTCACTTATGGCTATTATCCAATGGGCTGTGATTAACCATCTTGGGATGTGGAGAACACTCATGGAAAAAGGACTAAAGATTTTATGAACATAATATGCTACAACAGTCCCCTAAAATTCATAGATGATTTTTCTATACTCTGTTAGAGGCAGAATTTTGTCATCAAGTCAAAGAACAGAGGTGGCTTATGTAACTGAAATATAATTTCACCTATGGTTTAATCATCCATTTTGCATTTACTGCAGTCCAGTCATTTTGTGGACTGGGCTGAGCATTCCAGAACAGTCTTCCCCACAATCCACCCTACAAGTTCAACTCCAAATGGACAACTTTAAAAGTCTCAGCTGTAAAGCTCACTGGTCATATTCTCACACTTGCTTCAGATTGACAGTTCCAAAACACGCCGAGGAAGATACATAAAAACGGTAGAGAAAAAAGTCTATGAAAAAAAGGGGAGGCATAAAAACATTTTTAAAACTTTGACTCTTCCGCCTGCTCCAGAACTCATACTCCCACAGAAGCTGGTGGGAAGGTTTAGTAGCATGACCCAGAACAGCACAAGATGGTACATTTAAATATCACTTTTAGCATTCTCAGCCTTAGAAGGCTAAAAGGGACAAAGACAATTATTTTAAATGTGATCTACTTTAAAGCACTGAACTTGCAAGAGATGCCGAAGAACAGATGCTTCCAGATTCAGTCAGGAAGATGACTAATAAGAAATAATTTGGAAGACAAAGATGCAGGACTAATGGATAGAAAAAACGTAAACAAGGAAAGTGATTCTCCTGCCCAGGTTCCTGACAGCTCTTGAGTCTGTGGTTCTGAGCTGCTTAAAAGAGGGAGGTGGAGATATTCTCAGCTATAGCCAGTAGGATCTTCAGTCCCATGGCAGAAATCACAGATAAGCCTTTAAAAGAATATGCCTAATTTCTGATTATTTACATAATAAGGTTATGTAAAAACATAAGCAACTCAAAAGCTCACACTCCATTTGTTTTTAAACTTCTTCTTGGATCACAGAGCACTAAGAAGTATCTGGCCTAAACTCAGCCATGTTCAGCCAGGTACCTGAGTTAACCAATTACAGCAAGCGGAGACAGTCAAAGCTAAATTTAAGTGTTCACTTTACATTCCACATGCCAGAAACATAGTTGGTTGGTTTAAAATAAAAACAATAAAAAGACCCAAAAAACACTGCACATGCTGAAAGATATTTACTTCAATTATAACAGCAATAGTTTTATCTTTACCTACAACTTGAATATTACCTGCCTCCCTGCCTCCCCACCCTCCATAGAGTAATCTAGAAACAAATCACTTTATTTTGGTATTCAAAGAGCACAAAACACTTCTGAAAATCAAACTACAGAAGCTTTTGCCACTCCAGTGAGGGTCTGCTACCAGAAAGCAATTGAAGAGTGAAGGATGGCTTAAGGAATTGCTGGTAAGAAGCTACTTTAGTTTGGTATTTCACTTTATGAAACCTAAACTGGGGCACAATAACAGGTAGCTGAGACATGCACAGCAAAAGTTTTCAGGATATGGCCTTAATAAAGCAGTTCTGGCATAAGTGTAGTTTTAGCAATATCAGTGTAAAAAAAAAAAAAAAAGGTAATTTTCCATTACTCATTTTGTTGAGCTATTTCAAAAGAGAAATCACATGCCAAAGAAAGAAAACTGACCTGAACGGTTGGCTAGTCAATAGAGCAGTTGTGTAACTATACAGTGTGACTTGCTGCAGGTGTGAAGGAGAGATCTGACTTTACTATTTCTTAATTTCAATTTAAAGACGACTTGTCAGTTGTGCAATCCTGGTGCTTTTCTGAGAAGGAGGAAGAGATCCCACAGGCTATCAAAGTTAAGGACCAATTGCTGCACTGCTCTCAAGAAGAGTTTAGTTTAAGACTACACAAGTTTCTTCATTATTATTCTGCAAAAGCCATCCTGCTATATTGTATCTCCTGCCTAACATTTCATTCAACAGGCATGGAAAGATGATCTAGGAAGCTGTTTATTTGCTGCAATTCAGTAATTGCCCAAAGTTGCCTGAGACACTAACATGCACTTCCAGTTTCCCCTTCCTTCTTTCTCTCCCCATATTCTTAGCCTTTCAAGTTAAAAAATGTTAATTGGATTAAAATGACCAAATCTACCTTTCATTTCTTATACTCACATACTGAGATGCCTTCTGATCTGCTGGCTTGCCCTCCACTGCTCCCACAGCAGCCGAGGTGCCTCTGTCACCATTATTCATGTTATTCTTGTCAGTAGCTTTCGTTTCCACCTCACCAGGAAGCTTGACATCTCCTACGCCGAGCGCCTCGGTCTTGTACTTCTTCACAAATTGCTCCATCTGCTTCACTTCACTGGGAGATAGCTCATGGCATTTTGAAGGATCCTGATCGTGAGCGGGCAGCTGCTTTGCCAACTGTTTCTTCCTGTACTGTGCTCCTTCTGAGCCAGCAACGGGCTGTTTCTCCTTTGGAAGCATCTGCATATACTGTCTAGCCTAAACCAAGAGGAATTAGACATCAGATGCCACTTCAACTACAGACTCACCCTTCTAAAACAAACAAATGACTGAAATCAGCCCTACTGTTGTTAGCGACAGTCAAATTGGTCAAAAACAAGGTTCTTTCCATAAACACTAAGCTCCCAAAACACAGTAGATTGGGGGAAAAGTGCAGCAGACATTAATTGGCTTCTTCCCAGCATAAGGGACAGGCTTCTTTTAAGCATTTTGCACCATATAGAATTCTTACCCACTCCAAGAAGTAGTAACTTAGAACAATAATTAACATTTACATAACACCTTCTCTCCTCTAAACTGTTTAAGAAAAACACTGCTCATCAGGATAGTTTGAAAAAGCAGAAGCTGAAATATCTTGCCTGAGGCACATAGCCCATTGCAGCAATAATTCTGGCCAAATAAAGAAAACTTTGTTTTAGTACAGCAAGGACAAGTTCAGGAGCAAAAACTGTAGCTGAATGTTAAACAACAGAAAATTTAGATCTGGAAATGTTTAATTCATTTACTGAACAACAGTATTTTTAGAGACGCAGGTCTGAGCTAACACTTGCAGCACAGGTCACAAAACCTAGCAGTGCAGCAGGTTAGCAATTAAAGCTTGAAAAGTGAAACAAAATCCCCAGAAGGCTATCTAGTGTTTCATCTGTGTGAGCTGCAAACATCCTTGAAGAAAGTTTTTCTTTTGGATGCCAACACTGAACGTGTTCTTACCATATACAGTAAAAGCTATACGCAAGACTTTCCCCTTGATTTTAAGCAATGACTTTTTTCTTTTAAACTCACAGCCCATACATTTTTTCTTTTAATTCTAAAAAGGCAGTATTATAAACTATATCCCAGGAGGCTTTCAAATATTTTCTGATTAATTAAAAATAAAAATATTGAAAGTTAGTCATATAGAGGAGATACAAGAAGTAAATTTATCCTTTGATAAACTTTGCTTCTCCTTTTCCCTTTCCCTGTCTTAAAGAAGGAACAACTTTGACTTACAAGTGTCTGATTCTGAACAGGAGGAGCCCACTCGTAAGTGACAGTATTGATGGATATATTCTTCTTTGCTGGCACTGGATTAGTCAGGATCATTACATTACGCTTATACATGGGGATGCCATCATTTTTCAGCTTTGCAATAAGGGTTGTGTATTTTGTATCTTCAAAGAGTTTTCCCACTTTCCTATCTTCCTCATTGCTTGTGAGGACATCATGCTCCTCCTGGCCACATTTGCAGTTGCGGCATATTTTTCTGAAAATCAGAGAAATAGCAGCAAAGTTAGAGCCTCAGCCGCAAACTACATCTCACATGGACTGCATGCACAGTAACCGCATCTGCGGGAAACCCAAACCTTGTTTTCAGTGTTTTGGTAAAGGCATATGAGTAGTTGTTTCAAAGCCCTTTTGAAGATACTCTTGATTACCTCTGTTAAATTCTTTGTTCACCAAGACAATGATCATAAAGATGCTTACCTCTTACATTAGTACTTTTTAATAAGACATCATCCTTTCAGTGAAGCCAGGGTACAGACCTTGCACATCTTATCACCCACCTATGAGGCTAGTATGGGTAGTCATCTATCAGTTAGGACCTAAGGGCACCCACGAAAAAAAGACTTTTTTTTTTTTTTTTTAGGATTTTAGGATTTTAGCTTGTAAGGTTCTTGCCACACACAAAATTTCACAGTCTATACCATTTTCTCTATGCACTTCACTATACATAGTATTTGCTTATTACAGGGCTGCATTTTGAATAATGTTTTCGGATTTCCTAGAAAGGCAAAAAAGGGTATAGTCATATTTAAAGTGTAACTGCACCAAGATCTGTCCTGAAGTTTGGCATTAAGAGAAGATGAAAGGAGAGCAATTAGCTCATACAGATACAGCCTTTCAAACAACCAAGTCAGAGGCACCCTGGTACATGCTGTACAGAGAACTTGTACAGATGACAACCTTAAAAGGTAGAGGAAGCTCCACTTATTCAGATATAATTGGAATTATTCTTTAGTACACAACACAACAAACTTGAACTCCTGGGATTAAAGGGTTTTAGATAATTATGCATTAGTATAAGCATAATTCACATATAATAAGCAGAACCTTGAATTAGACAGCTAATTTACTATATATTAAAGGATTTCCTAGAGCTTTCACTCAAGCCATAATAAATGAAGTCAGTGACAGTTTAAGATTTGTTTTTAAATCTAAGAAAATTGATCCAACTCCTGGATCCTTGCTGAACTTGAACAAGAAATATTTTACCTCATTTTCTATTCCCTATGTAATGAACAGCAAAAAACAAATCTCTTATAAAATGCTTTTCAATCCTACCCACCATTTAAATCTCAGATACTTACACCTTGCTTTCCAAAACCTTATATAGGTATATACCTTATATAAGGTATTTATCTTAAGCATGGAACGTGCCATAACTTCCCCTTTCCCATTACAGGACAGAGAAAGGAAGAAGAAAGGGGACCTACATAGAGCTGATCACATAAGAGACAGAAGAATATGACCAGCCCCAAAGGTACACAATACACATGGCCAGAGGTACCCTGCTTTACAATGTTTATTAACATTTTTGCTGAACACATGCAGCTCTGGTCCAACAACCATAATTTCTTAAATTATGAAGCTCATCCCCATCAAATTATCTAACAGCTGTTAGAAGCCAATCTCTAGAAACAGCCAGCAAAAAAATATCTAGGACACATTTCCCTGTGCAACAAAAAACTCCACAAACGGTCATGACCAGAGTTTTCTGTTTATATATATATACACACATATATATACAGACACATATATATATAAAGAAACTTTTTTTTAAACATACACACACACCCCCACGCTATTTGGGGGTTTGTATGATTTCCAATTTACTCCCACAACAGAAAAACAAGTATTAATTTTGGAACTTTTGCATCTTATCTGTGAACCTGTGACTGCAAAAAAACATCAAGCACTTCGCAACCTCCCAGCTTAATAAAATGTTCAGGCATGGACAAGCATAGCTCATTAAGCCTAAATAAGTCAGGCATACTGACTTATAGGATCTATGCATTACAGACACTCTGCATCTCTCAAGCACTTACAATATAGAATTCTTTATAATAGTTAATGTCACTCTAAACAAGTCCCCAAGGTAATACTTCTACTGTTTAAGAAAGCAATTAAGCAAGAAATGTTCAGTTTGCTCATCTTTTAAGGTATAATCATATGCACTTTATTACCAGCTCTTAATTATGTCTTCACAACCTAACGTTAATTGGTGGTATCAGACCTCCCTTTTTGTGGGTTGTATTAATACATCTTTCATTACTACAGTAATTACTAACAGACAGTTATATGGCCCACAGTGTGCCTGAACCTTGACTTCATTCAAGCATTTTTTTTAAAAAACAGATATTTTCTTCATTTTAATGCAAATCTTTAGCAATAATAAGCCCCAATTTTAGCCTTGCCTCTTGACAGGATGTGCTCTAATTCTAGAGGTGACTGAACAGAGGTTCCTGGGCAAACTGCACATATTGATGCAAGCAAAGTACAGTCCTGCTGTGCAGGACTACCGCGCTTGCAAACAAACCTGAATGGAAATACTGCCCTGCCTTGCCTCCATGGTCAGGGTGGTGCAACATTTTGGCTCTCAGCCTATGCAGCACTCAGCTGCAGTGAGCAGCACTCAGTCTGCAGATATAAGCATCATCCCCAGCAAACTGTGGGTTAATTCCACCCTTCCACTCAAATTTCTACACATGCTGACAGAGCCACAAGGGTTTCTTACTCTTGTTCATGCTAAGTCATGAAATGGCACATCTGTTTCACAGTACAGACCTTCCCTCTTGGAAGGCAGAGGGTATATTTTGAGAACCAGTTCCCATTTCCAAATAGGGAAGTATCCTGACTCAACTGCTTTTATCCTCAGTGCTACTTTAAAGGAGTAGCACATCTCAGTAATTTCAGTATTTCTGAAAGTTTTGGGTTTATTTTTGTCCTGGTAAACTGATGAGGAAATACTTGTAAACAAATGGAAGCATACAACTTGTCCTCAGATCCTTCCTGGGTCCTACTGTGAAACTGTCATAAAACTCTTGTGGTTTATATTAAAAAGAATGAGATCATCATTCTGATTCTAGCCCAATTGCCTTCTCCCTCTCACCCCTAACTTGCTTATATTAAGAAACTGAGTGTGCACAGTTCAGTCTAATGTTTTCTCCTTGCCTGAATTAGAGGCCAGGTACTGCCTTTTACTTAAGGCTGCTCTAATGATTTATAGAGCAGATGGCTGATGCAGGATCCTGCCTACGTGCAGTCTGCAAGACGCCACTACAGGGGCTACAAAACTAGTAGTGTGGGGTGATCCTATCATTAGGGCTTCTTGATAATCCAGATCTCCAAATGCAGGGAAAACAATCCAGAAAGAATGTGGAGGAAGCCAAGTCCCAGACAATCTCAGCATATTTTAGTAAGTTCACAGGGGAATCCCTGAAGCTGCTGCTGTTTTTCCCATTGCCCAAATCTCCCCTGGATCTCAGCTGCATTATAAGCTCTGTGAAGAGCCAGAAAATGCTTTATCTCCTTATTTATAATCTCTTTTCTTGAGTAATTTCCAGTTTGAAAAAGATATCCAGCTGGCATTTACACACATTACTTTGAATCTGGAGTATTGTTCTCAGAGTACACATGCCTTCCTCCACTAAGGTGCCACATCATGAGTCCTGTTCATTAGGAACACTCTCCTGTGGGAAGGATATGCCAATTGCCTCTCCTTAGGCTAGATTAGCAGGTAGTTACTTTGCCAGGATACAGCCATCTTCCTTAAATTAACTCACCAGACTGAGATGCAGTAACAGGGAAGGCAAAGGAGAAGGCTGCTCCTTCTCCCCAGGACTGCTGTCACTAGAGCACATGCACCAAAATCACTACTGAAGGAGCAATTAGAAACTGCTGTTCACATGTTCACAGCTCTCAGGATCTGAGCAAAGGATATGAATATTCTTCCAGTCAAGTCTGAGCAGGTTGGAAAGCTTTGCCTGTTCAGAAAGGACAGATGTGGAGAAAGGCTCAACATTTGTGCAACTACAAAGTGCACATTACTGTCAAAAACAAATTTAGTGGATTGTGTCTGTTTTCAGGTCCTGGGCAGGCAAAAAAGGGAAGAAGGAAAGTACTTAGATTCCGTCTTCTCAGGCCTGTGAGCTTCCGGTCCTGGGCAGGCAAAAAAGGGAAGAAGTACTTAGATTCTGCCTTCTCAGGCCTGTGAGCTTCCATGTTGTGGCTCTCTACAGAACACAAGGATCAAGGACTTCCACTTTCTTTTCCAAAACCAAATCTCACCCAATCCCTTATTTTTTTAGGCTTTGCTCTACAGAGGAAGAATACTTCAGCCTGTCAGCCTTTCTACACGGATTTTGCAGTAGTCTACAGTGACGGGAAACATTTTCAAGCACAAAGGAGGCCTCAACAAAATTGAGGCAAGACATTAGCCTCATGTCCTTTGAAAAACATTATACAAAAAGTGAACAGCAAAAGCACACACCCCTTCCATGATGTCTTTTGTTACAATAACTTGATATTAATGCAGCTATTGAAAGCAGCAAATGCAGTGGAGCAAGCCTCAGCCTGCCCGACAGGCACAGTCTAGAAGAACATTAGAGCCAGCTAAGCTATCTCTGCCTTCCAGGGGCTGTGCCACACAGAGGAGGCAGGCGCTGACATTGGTCTTTCCCAAGATCAGGATTCTGGTCTCAGAAGCTTTCTAAGATCTTGGCAAGGCACGCAGGAGACAGTCAGCACTTTCCAGTATACGTGACTAAGATAAATCAGGATGTGCCCTCCTGCTTGCAGGAGCTCATCTCCAGCCCCACACCTCCCTCTAGCGGCATATTTGCTCCCGAAGAACAAAAATCCCTACAGCAAGTAGCATTTGTCAGCCAGCTTTCCCTGCTCCTTTTGCAGAGGCAGTGCTGCAAACTGAAGGAATTTCAATATCTGAACCCAGACACTGCTAAACTTGGAAGTGTTATTCTGAGGACAATTTTAAAAGCAAATCACTTACTAAAATTCTGAGTTACTAAATTCATTTGGTTGTTGCGGTCTTGCTCAGATCACTATCTGCATTTACTTTATAACAGGAGGATTTCAAAACTTTAGAACCAAGGAACGAGTTTTAATACAGGCTTTGTTCATCACCATTTCTCTACTATTTTAACAGTTTTGCATCTATATCCCATACATCGGGCCAAGAGATGTAGCACCTTCAAAGCCTTCAGACCACTAGCTCTTCTGCATCCTACACCCCAGATGACAATCATATTTTCTGAACATTAAGATTTTCTGTATAGAGAAGAATAGGATGTAGCTGCACTGTGTTAAACCCTGCTGTCACAGGGATATACTCGCAGTCTTGCCTGTGCTTTACAGTATGACTGCTCAGAATTTAGGCTCTTTTATGTAGAAATAAAAAGAGAAATAACACTACTCCACTCTGATAAATGCCAGAGTTTTAGTTTTCGGGTATACTGGAGAGAATGACAACTATGCCATCTGCTTCACTCCACCCAGGAGAGGGCAGTGTTACCCTGCACAGGCCATGGCTATGAGGCAAGCCCAGGGACACAGCGCTAGGAAGGCCAACAACCGCTCCCCAGTTAAACTTGGCAACTTTAACTGCACCTCTAGCCACATTCCCCAGTTCAACACCTCTCTCTTACAGGTGAGAAAGTGTAGTATGAACTGTCCACAGGAGTTCAAGTTTAGTTGTCAACTTCAAAGGTAATATTCTTGTACACTTCTGCTAGTTTGATTTCTTACAAGCAAGTTTCAGCTTTTTAGGCTAGGTGAACAGATGCTCTGAGTGCTAAGTAGGCAGATATTCCAAATCCATCTCTTTCTGCCCAAGGGAAGGCTCCTATCACAAAAAGCATGTGTTAATATTTTTCCTTTGCAAGTTGTTTATGCAGAGCGGATGTAATTGGCTTCAGATTTGCATCCTGCTAATATTTCTAGCACTGGCACAGGCTGCACAGAGAGGCTATGGAGTCTCCTTCTCTGGAGATCTTCAAAACCCCCTTGGAGGCGGCCCTGTGCCACGTGCCCTAGGTGACCCTGCATGTGCAGGCAGGGGTTGGACTGGACCTCTAGAGGTCCCTTCCAACCTTAAGCATTCTGTGATTCAGCTTGCTCCTAACAGCAGCTCCAGTGTAAAATGGTGATTTTCCAGCGGCCACAGAAAAGTCCAGAGGGCTCTTTTGTCAGAGGTGGCTTCCACACTGCTCTGATAACCAGGAAGAAGCATCTTGGACATATTACAGCCTCCCTGTTGCATGGGTTATATTATAGCATTTCAGTTTCCAAATTTAAATTTCAGTCTAACCAGCTGGTATGATAGGAACACTATTTTCTTATTTTTTCCTTACTTGCTCTTTAAATCCTCCGCCATCCACAGACTCACTTTGCAAGAGAACAAGTGCTCTAAAGAGCTACATATTCAGGATCTACCACAAAAGACCCTAATCATAGGAACTCAAGGAAACAATCAAAAACAAAACAAAAACAACTAAACCTCTCAAGAGGCTGACGCTGAAGGAGATTCAACTTTCTAACCTTTCTGGTTTGGTTTGCTGGTAAACATACCAGGAAACATACCAGCAACATGTAACCACATTGCTTTAGGCATTTTATTTCTTCTTATTCCAACTTCTTTTCTGCTGAAGAATAAACTAGAAATTATAAGGTTCCTTGATAATGGAGCTAAAATAAGAGAAACAGAAAGAAAGAGTTGAGGAAAAAAACAAAAAACAACAAAAGGCAGAATATTATTTCACTTGCTATTTCCTCATCTCTCAAGTACAGACATGACTTCTCATCTCTAGATATTCCTATATTTTTAAAATTCTGTTTTATCAAAGTACTTATATGTGCACAAGTTAACTTTGTTATATTTTTCTTGCACTACATACATAAACCTCGAGTGACTATTTTCTTAAAAAGTCTTTCCATAAACTACTCCCATCTTTTATACCAATAAATAGTTATGATCATCTTAATATATTACCATTACTGGAACCACCTGGTCCATTATTTATATTTTGTTTCTGTAGTTACGTATTACAGACACTTAACTGAGAAGCTATAACCTCACCAGCCTTACATAAACAAGTCTTTGCCGTCTGTTTTGACAGGTTATTTTCTAAACTCATTCTCACTACCAGCCAAATACTTGGGTATAGATTTAATATCTCTTAGGCCTACTCTGCATTTGATGCTACTCTGGCCATGTTGAAAAGGCAACTTTTTTTTTTTTTTTTTAAAAAAAGACTACAAAAGGAAAGCTTGCTGTGGATACAGAAATGAGTACAGCCATGTCACATTGGAGAAATTTAATTACTTTTATCAGCTAGCATATGCTAATGCTACTGACATTTATTTGTAGACTAGTCACTTTGAAATTGGTGCTATTTTTTGCATCAAAAACTAGAATCACTATACTACATTTCAAAGTATTTGCAGGATAATTAGTGAACTGAGATAGCTAGAGTGAACTGAAAGCTGGTGTGTGTTAAGGTTTCAGTAAAATGAGAGTCTTAATGGTATGATAAGTTCTTGCAGAAGTAATGGCATAGACCACAGTGTAACCTATTTACTGCAGAGATCATCAGCTCTTATTAGTTTAAGAATAGTGCATCATCCAAGGTCAAGTACTATATACTATTTTATAAACTTCCTTAAAATGTGACCCTCCTCCCCCCGCCACCCCCAGCCATCACTCCCAAATCATTTGCAGATTCATGCAAAGTTTCAACCTCTTTTGAATACAGATAAGGTAATTTTAACTAAAATGCTAGATCAAAGGCTAGGCATTCGGCCAGAGGCTAAAACAACCTTTTGTTCCTGAGATAAAGCACATTCTTCATTGTCATCTCTCTCACTGTTGGCACAGAGATCCTCTTCAATCATATTTACATCAGTTCAACAAACAGTTGAAGTGTTCAATAGTAGTACTACCATTGACTTAAGTGCAGATGAATATACTCATAAATGGCTACCTACTTACATACTCTGCTACAAGGCTGCAAAGAAATCCTGGACTCCGATCTGAGCACACCTTTGTGAAGTGCATGCAAATGCTTATTTATGGCACTGTTCAGACATGTGCCACGGCATGTCAATACTGAGCCACAGCTCAAGACATCCAATCACTTACCTCCAGAAATGAAGCTCAAATCCTTCACATTTATCCTTGCATTTCAAGCAGGGAGCTCCAAATCCTTGCTCATGGCCCAGTCCCATCTGTTTAAAAACAAACAAAAAATCTACTGTAAATTTCAAGAAATAATTTACATGAATGATCTTACTGATTCCCTTTACAACAGACAGCTCAAACAAAGCTTAACAGTTTGACTAAGCTGACACCAGCACAGCATTTCAGGGTTTGTCTAGCCCTCTGCACTGTCTAGCCCTTGTAACTGCAGGAGGGTGTTCGCACAAACCCATTTGCAGGGCTGAGATAGCAGAAAGTCAGCTTTAGTCAAAACCTAACATCTCTTGGCAACTTGTCTCGCCAAAGGAGAGGAAGAGAATCTGCGCCAGAGGAAGCGGATTCCTCCCAACCCTTAACCTAGGTCTGCAGCCGTGAAACCCCAGTGAGTCAGGCCACTGGGCCAAGATCAAGTCAAGAGACACTTAAGGCAGTTGCCAAGACAAAGCAGTTGGCAACACATAACTCTGTAAAATACAGAAGATCGAGAAAGAAATGGATTCCAACATTTATACACACTAATTTGAGTAACTGATAGGAATAAAGAAGAGATCAAAATGATAAATCTGGGACTTCTGGGTGTATCTGATACTACCTGAAACTGCTAGTGATTGAGAACCGAATACATCTTTCAAATCGTCGTTCAGGTCAGAAAAATACCTGGTGGTGCAGAGTAAAGGCTGAGTATTCATACAATATAGCAACACATCAGCAAATTTAAAAAGATAAAAGGCACTGAAACTTAAAGGTGAAAACAGCCACTAGCCACCACAACTTAGGCATCTGTATAACACACTAAATTTAAGATACCTCACTCCAGTTCTCTAAAGCTTTGGGGAAGCCTCAATCTTGAAGGAGACGGAGGCCCCTGGTGCCTGCTGGGGGCACAGGCTCCCACTCACCACAGCGCAGCCGGCAGCAGGAGGAACGGCCCCAGTGGCTGCAGCGGGAAGCAGAGGGACCCTAACAGAACTCCCTCCCCTTCTTTTGCATCTACCATGAATGGAAAATTAGCTAAAAGATGAAAAGTTCTAGTTCTAATGTAATTAGTGTCAGCAGAACTTAGCTAGATGTGATAAGATCATAAAAGAGCCTCCAGGTTAGAACTACTTCTGAAGAGTCATGGTGTTCCTGTTGTAACCCGGGGATATAAACACTTTCCCTTCCATCTCACTTCTTTCCCAAAAAGCAGCAGTTTATTATTAGTTTGTGACAGGCAGCACACAGTATGCTGCAAGGAAGACCAGGCTTTCCATTATTTTATAATTCCAAGGATAACTGCCTCCACAGTCATTAGACATCCCTGAGGAACTGAGAAGCTTTCCTGCAGATTTAAGAACCACCTTTGCAAACCATATAGCTACTGCTTCAACTTCAGGGCAGAGCACTAAATTATTTCTTCTTCCCTTCTTATTTGAAATAGCAAAAACATGCCTGCTCTGATCATAGTGACATTTTTATTAGCTTAAGGAGTCCAAATATTTGCATGCTAGAGAGGCTAACCCAAAGCCAGAGCAGTAGACATGTAAAAGATGAAAGCAAAGAACTATCTGCAAAATCATCATCTGTGTTTTTGTTGATGCAAAGCTAATTATAGTTTGCTTCCATGAAGGGGGGTGTCTGCAGAGGTGCTCTCATCCAGACACCTATCAAATAGGTGCTGTACATCAGGAAAAGCCACCAAGGGCTCCTGTCAAGTCACACACAAACAGAACGAACGGTTGCCAAGAAGAAGAAGAGGAAGCTAAAACCACACACACACAAAAAAGTCTTTTTTGTTTTTTTCTTCTTCCTTCATGACAGGTTGTTTTAAATCCTCCTCCCTAAAAGCTGTTGAACTTAATGTGCTTGTACTGCCCGCACAAACGCGAAAACAACACTGACCCACATAGCTTTCACTATACTCCAGCTACAAACCGATAATGCTTGGGGAAGGGAAGAAGGAAACAGCAACTATTATTTTAATTAAATACTTTTAAATTCTAGTTTTATTGCATTGTTATTAGAAGGCTTGGAAGCCTACGATCACTTGCGCATGGAGAACTACATGCACAGCACACAAACAACCTTAACACTTCAAGTTTTTCCTAAAGAACCACCCAAAGTGCAAATTTTCACAGTATATATACATTTTTTTCAGGATTCCCAACATTTACAGGATTTTTTAAGGCTAAAAGTATTTATCCAAAGTTACGATCCCTTTCCATATGAGGAGTCTGGTCGCCGTATGGAAGGAGCTTAGTCTACAAGTAACAGGCATGTTCAGAACCAAGCTAGACCCCACGCCACATGTTCCAAGCCTCTGACTTTGTTCTGACAGAGAAGCAATTTGGCCATTTTCCAAAAAGATTAAAGCTAATTAAAAGAAATAATAGTATGCTTTGCTTTTGAGGTTGATTCTACATATAACAGCTGGCATATGTTAAATTCTTCCATCTCACTGTAACGGATCTCAGCAAACAGGGCAAAGGAGCCTCAGAACTGACTGTTCTACTGCATGCGCAGGAACGGAGAGCACCTACAGCCACAACACATTTCACCTCTGCTCTTGCCTGTGTTTATTCCCTATGACTCCCAAATGACACATAACTGGCTGAGAAGCACTGAGTGGGCTGAGTCTAGAGGGGAATGCGTGTCTGAAAACAGGATGGAATCAATTTTCCCCATAAATGGAATTATAGAAGAAGTGGCATAGATGGGTCAGCTGAACGCTTGCCAGAGGAAGGTTCCTGCATGTCAACTGTCATTAATTTTCATTTCATAGGAAGAGCTATCCCAAAACCATCTGGTATTACTAACATACCCAATACAGATTTAAATAATCTGAGAATGGAAGACGATATAAATATTATTGGGATCATCTGTTGCAAGCTGCTTTCAAGATTAAATAGTCCTCAAGGGCAAAGAATTTTAAATGGTTACAGCTCAGTGAACATTACTAAAAAATTGCTCTATTTTAACTTGGACTGAAGTCTGGTGTCAAAAGTTGACTATCTTTACATTAGAGAGCTACGTAGCTCACATCTTAAAAACTCGCATGATCGAATTCAAGCATTTAATAGTTTGTTCAGATGGATATGATAAATGTGACATCTGCTAAAATATTGCTTAAGCCCAGATTACCAGAAACATTTATTGTTAAGTTCATTGAACATTCAACAAATCTGTTTTCTATCCCTATAAAACCTACGGCAATTGTTGAAATCTTGCTTGCTTAGAAGGCCTGCACTTCATTTCAATGATCACAGAATATTTCAGTTTGAAGAGCCTGTCTCTGTGGAAGTTTGGTCCAACTGTCCACTCCAAGTCAGTCCAACTAACTCAGATTTATTGAGGCCCTTGTCCATTTGTTTTCTGAATACCTCTATGGAGGCAGAATCCAAACTACTACAAAGTTGGTCCACAAAGTGAAAATAATTCTGTGTGTTTACTCAGAATTTCCTATGCTGCAACTTGTGCCAATTGTCTCTATTATCACCATACACTAAATGAAGATTATTCTGATTCTGCCTTTCCTATTCCCTCCTGCTAGGTTACTGGGGACAAATGACACCAGGAATATGCCAGTAGAACTCCATGGGAAATCCTGAATTAATTGTAAAATAGTTAACACCAGTCTTCTTCCCCATACAATACTCAAAATACAGCTACTCGGAGCTTCCTTCCCATTTAAAAAGGAACCTCTGAGAAACAGAGGTTAAGCAGAAGGTGGAAGAAGAAGCTGTAAAAAAAAAGAACCACAATTCTGCCATTTCTAGATCTCTCAAGGCTCCTTTTGCCTCCTTGGAACTTCACCAGAGATCAGAGGAGCTAGATTAGAGCTAAGTAGAGTTTTGGTTCCTTTCTCCTCCCTCTCGCCCACAAGCATATTCATGTATTATCTGTCAGATGCATTAATCTCCCAATAGGTCACAGGCAGTAAAATGCAATATTAGTACTTAGCTTCTGCAGAAACAGAAGTACCAAAGCACTTGCACCATTTGAGACCGCTCCAAAATTTGAGAAGTTGTGGTTCTGCCTAAAAGCATTCTTTCAAGGAGAATACTCTAAAAATCATTTTTTCCCCCATTTGTACAGATCCTGTACAAGGAGAAAGCGATCATTAATACGCCACAGTAACAGTGAACCCTAGAACAGACTTAAATACTCTACTTTTTTGAAGATCTTTCCCCCATGCCCTTGAGTATTCAAAGGACAGAAATGAAGAGATTCTTGACCAAGTTATTCTTGGATTTACTACAAAATCCCAGGACTTTTCCAGTTTGAGGATTATCTAACTATTAATCCATTTAGATGTTAGTGGGTGCACATAAAATTGTGATTTTTTCCATTCCAGTGTTGACTAAAGGGGGAAGGCAACCCACACCAACAAAAAGCAACACTCCTCCATGAAAACTGTATAAAGTAATAAAAGTATTGAGAAAATATTTGTGTTATGCATGCTTTTGACTGAAGTGTGATCTTGCATCATTATATTCTTTTCCAATAGATTACATCACTAGGAAAACACATAAATTTGATTAGGTTACAGGATTTAACATAGCTCTTCTGCTCTTAAAACCTATTGCTTGTAATGCTGTATTGAAAGAAAAAGACCATAAAAAGTGGTTATATCTGGACAATTCTCTTTCTCTTAAGACTTCTATAGACACCACATGAGAAAAGATGCAAGAACTTCTGTAGCGAAGAGCAGGATCCCACGGACCATTCTATATTTGTTATTATTTAACATCTGTCTTTTAAAATTGATGGCAAGTCTGTTCTAGTATTTTTAAACATGCATTTGGATCTGAGGAAGATTTGACTGGGATTAAGATGCAGAAGCTCTTTTAAGGAACTCCATTTGCAAAGAAACAAGAATGCCAAAGAGTACTTGCATCCAAGAAAAATATGTGAAAGATGTTCTGAGCAGGGCAAGCATAAATATAAATCAGGGAGCTGCAGACTACCATAGTACCCACGTGCTAAGAATTTATTTTATTATGATGTCTTTAGTCAAATATCAAACAGCTCTGAACACAAATATTTAAGG